CAGTCCCTCCCAGTCCCCCCGAGCTCCTTTCCCAGTCCCCCCCAGTCCCTCTCCCAATCCCCCAGTACCAGTTCCAGTGTCGGGGTCCACACTGGGGTCTGTGATCAGGGGCAGGACCCTCCCACTGAAGGGGTGTCGGAGGCGGCGCCCGTGGAGGTGCTGGGAGGGGGCGGGGCCACGTTTTAACCACGCCCCCACAACGTAAACCCCTCCCAGGCCCCGCCCACCGCGTGCCGGCCCTTTAAGAGGCGGCTCTGGAGAAGCCCCGCCCCTCTCGGGGGTGGAGCCAACACCGACCAATCGCGGCGAGTCTCCAGACCAAAAAGGCCCCGCCCCTTCAATTGGCCACACCCCCAGAGCCTCACAAGCCACGCCCCTTACATGAAGCCACACCCAACACGCAAAACAAGCTGCAAGCCACGCCCCTTTTGCCACAAACCCTGCTCCTCCCACAAGCCACGCCCCATCCCTTAAGCCACACCCACCTCACCCCTTTCCCTTTCCTCCAGCCCCTCCCCTTCCGGGCCACACCCATTTAAGCCCCGCCCCTTTGAGAACACACCGTTCAAGCTCCACCCCCTAAGCCACACCCCCTCAGTGCCACGCCCACTAAGCCACACCCCTACAGACCACACCCACTAAACCACACCCCTATAAACCACACCCACTTAGGCCACACCTTTATAGACCACACCCATTCAGGCCACACCCCATAAACCACACCCACTTAGGCCACACCCCTCAGCATCACACCCCTATAAACCACACCCCTATAAACCACACCTGCTCAGGCCACACCCCTATAAACCACACCCCTATAAACCACCCCCACCCAGGCCACACCCCTATAAACCACACCCCCTTAGGCCACACCCATCACTGCCACACCCCTATAAACCACACTCCTATAGACCACACCCACTAAACCACACCCCTATAAACCACACCCACTCAGGCCACACCCCTCAGCGTCACACCCCTATAAACCACACCCACTAAACCACACCCCCACAAACCACACCCACCCCAGGCCACGCCCCCCTCCCCTTAGCCCCACCCCCTGACCTGGTACCGGGGGTCCCGCGGGTGAACGGCCACGGCCACGTCCCCAAACAGGGTCTCGGGGCGGGTGGTGGCCACGGGGACCTCCAGCCCTGGGGGGGGGAACATTTTGGGGACATTTAGGGTCATTTTGGGGACATTTTGGGGACAACAAAGTGAGGGGGGACCCCGAGGCCACCCAGGGCCACCCCCCGGGACGGACGTCCCGGGGGGTGGCCCTGGGTGACCTCGGGGTCCCCAGAGTGTCCCCACAGCCCCCCAAATTGTCCCTGTGACCCCAAAAAGTGTCCCCAAAGCCCCCCAAAAGTGTCCCCACCGTCGTCCCCCTCCACGGGGTAGGCGAAGGTGACGAGGAGGCCGAAGGTGACGGGGTTGGGACACCCGGGGAGGCTCAGGGAGGTGGGGCCCGGCAGAGCCCGGTGCTCCACCTGGAAGAGAGAGAGGGGGGGAAGAAGGTTTGGGGACAGTTTGGGGACATTTGGGGATGGTTTGGGGACGTTTGGGGATGGTTTGGGGATGGTTTGGGGACGTTTGAGGACGGTTTGGGGACAGTTTGAGGATGTTTGGGGAGATTTGGGGAGGTTTGGGGGCAGTTTGGGGACATTTGGGAACAGTTTAGGGATGTTTGGGGGCATTTGGGGACGTTTGGGGATGGTTTGGGGATGTTTGGGGACAGTTTAGGGATGTTTGGGGATGGTTTGGGGACTTTTGAGGACATTTGGGGACGGTTTAGGGACATTTTCGGGACACTTGGGGACATTTGGGGGCAGTTTGGGGATGTTTGGTGAGAGCTGGGGATGGTTTAGGGATGGTTTGGGGTATTTGAGGACATTTGGAGACGGTTTGGGGACATTTTAGGGATATTTGGAGACGGTTTGGGGACATTTTAAGGATATTTGGGGAGGTTTGGGGACATTTGGGGACGGTTTGGGGATGTTTGGGGACAGTTTGGGGGCATTTGGGGATGTTTGGGGGGCAGTTTGGGGATGTTTGGGGGCAGTTTAGGGACATTTGGGAAGAGCTGAGGATGGTTTGGGGACATTTGGGGACATTTTGAGGACGTTTGGGGGGCGTTTGGGGACATTTGGGGATGTTTGGGGATGGTTTGAGGACCTTTGGGGATGGTTTGAGGATGTTTGGGGATGGTTTGGGGATGGCTTGGGATGGTTTGGGGACATTTGGGAATGTTTGGGGACGTTTGGGGACATTTGGGGATGGTTTGGGGAGAGCTAAGGATGGTTTGGGAACATTTGGGGACATTTGGGGACAGTTTCAGGACCTTTGGGGATGGTTTGGGGATGCTTGGGGACATTTGGGGACATTTGGGGGCGGTTTGGGGATGTTTGGGGACATTTAGGGGCAGTTTCAGGAGAGCTGAGGATGGTTTGGAGACAGTTTGGGGATGGTTTGGGGACATTTGGGGATGGTTTGGGGACATTTGG